CCGATCTGGCTGCAAAAATGGAAATACATTTGAGAGATTTATATGCCAAAACTGATTGGTTAAACCTAGGATTGTTTTTTTCCACCATTACTTTTCCTTTATACTAGCTTTTCAAGAAAGGGAGGAGGGACGAGCGTGCGGCACCTTACCAAGCCACATGCCCCCTGGGAATCCTCAAAGGCTCGCAAAGAGATAAAAATGCCCTAGAAAGGGCCCCCAGACATGACCCATCACAGAAAGGCAAGGAAAAGAAGTGCTTTCAAAACCTACAGTGGCCATCACACAGTCCATTGGCAAGAACTTCTCCTCAGTAATTAAAAGGATAGAAGCAGTGACAACGCAGTAAGCATATTCTCCACACAGCCAAAGTGAACCCCACAGTGTGAGCCTGAGATGAGGAAGCACAATGCACCACCTACAGAGTAGGGGAAGAGGAGAAAACAATGGAGAAGACACTCTGCTTAACACAGCTTTGCCCAGGTAAGGATATTGAGGTTCCGCTGGGATTAATATAGGGCACCTGTCACATTTGGGTGCGTTGCTCACCAAAGGGGGACACAGTGACAGCCCAAGCCTGACCTATAGTATTCAGCCTGTCACCTAGTCAGCAGCTTGATAAACAATTATCTTCAGTGGTAGAGATGAATAAAAAGGATTTTTTTCATAGAAACAACCAAAACAGAAAAATGGGGAACATGTAACAAATATAAAATAGGTGTTATTCCGATCTGGCTGCAAAAATGGAAATACATTTGAGAGATTTATATGCCAAAACTGATTGGTTAAACCTAGGATTGTTTTTTTCCACCATTACTTTTCCTTTATACTAGCTTTTCAAGAAAGGGAGGAGGGACGAGCGTGCGGCACCTTACCAAGCCACATGCCCCCAACATGGGACCCCCTGGAAAAGCACCGTGTTCCCATGTCAATTAGGGCAAGGGCCCTTTCCCCAAAACTCTGGCCTGGAGGTTGTGGGGGTCTGCGGGAAGGGGTGCTTATAGGAATCTAGGTGCCCCCTTTTATAAAGGGAGCATCCAGATCCCATCATGAATGAGTAAAGGGTAGTTGTAATCCCTACTCATTCACAAAATACAGTAAAATTGTAAATAAAACACACCACACCATAAAAAGTCCTTTATTTGAAAAAAACAACAACACAGTTGTTGTATTACAGAGAAAAAAACCTCCCAAAAATGTCCATCAATAAAATACAAGCTTCAATCATGTCGTCCAGTGATGTAGATACACGTCATTCGTGATGGACGATGGCTGCCGACTTGCCGGAAGAAAAAATATCTGACACCCTCCTACATGACCGAACCCGACAGACTCTTCCTGCAAAATTACAGCTCTGACCTGAATGTCAACAAAGGGGCGGAGTGAGTTGTGACGGCACAGAACTTGTCCCACCCCTTTGTTGACATTCGGGAGCAGAGCTGTCATTGTGTATAACCCTTGCAATTTTATATTTCCTGCAATTCTTGTTTAACAGATTATTAAAAGAACCACAACTTAGCTTCAAGTACACTTACTATACACCAAGAAAGTCTAGGCTACAAAACTGTACCCTACTAACACACCTGTATCCAGTCTGTAGTCACAGGATCGCTACTATACTGACATACCTGATACTATGGTGCTCCGATACCGACACTAGTAGCAGTATCGATACCGATACTGAGTATCCAATACTTATCCCGATACCGAAACTTCCGATCAGTGGGAGATTTCCTCTGCCCGGCAGTGCCGCAAGGGTACGTGGAGCCGGCTTCCCAGCCAATGAGGAACCCAGCCGTGGGTAATGACGCACGGGCTGGCATCCTGATTGGCCGGGAAGCCGGCTCCATGCAGTTTGCCTGGCTCGATGCTGATTAGCCAGGAAGCCGGTTTCCCAACCAATCAGGAGCCGGCCAAACAGCATGCAGTTGACTTCCCGGCCAATCAGGAAGCTAGACAGCGGGTAATGATCTGCCTCCCGGCTTCCTGATTGGCCGGGAAACTGGCTCCATGCTGATTGGCTGGGCAGCCGGCCTTACGGCCAATCAGCATTGAGCCGGCCAAACAGCATGGAGATGGTTTTCCGGGCAATCAAGAAGCCGGGCGGCGGGTAATGACATGCTGACCAGCTTCCTGATTGCCCAGGGAAGCCGGCTCCATGTTAAAGGAAGTACCGGTATCTGTACTCTGTATCGGCGAATACCGAAAGATAAATATAGGGACTCGTGCTCGATACCGAAAACTTGGTATCGGTGGATCCGTACCCAATACCAATCTGTAGACACAGAATCAGAACCATACTGACACACCTGATACCAATCTGTAGCCATAGAAACAGAACTATACTGACACACCTGATACCAATCTGTAGACATAGAATCAGAACCATACTGACACACATGAAACCAATCTGTAGACACAGAATCAGAACCATACCGAAAACACCTGATACCAATCTGTGGACACAGAATCAGAACCATACTGACACACCTGATACCATTCTGTACACACAGAATCAGAACCATACTAACACATGATACCAATCTATAGACATAGAGTCAGAACCATACTGACACACCTGATACCAATTTATAGCCATAGAATCAGAACCATACAGACACACCTGATACCAATCTGTAGACATAGAATCAGAACCATACAGACACACCTGATACCAATCTGTAGACATAGAATCAGAACTAGGGATGTCCTGATACCGATAGTAGTATCGGTATCGGTACCAGGCATTTTCACGAGTGCTTGTACTCGTGAAAATGCCCCGATTCTTAAGGCTGATGCCTGCCCTTTAAATTTTCGTCGGGTCCTCGGCAGCCTGCTGGGGACCTAGCAGTAGCTGTCCCTGGCAATGCCTATCTGGGTCTATACCTCCTGCTCCTCCTTCCTGGCACAGGCACAGCCATGGACAGCCCTACACACAGCACAGTACACAGCCCCAGACACCAGCACCCATCCGATCAACTCACAGCCCTGCAGAGATCCACGTGCTGCCCAGGTGAGATTGCAGCCTTCTGCTCTGTTTGGATGTATTGTGCTGCTGTGGGGGGATCATGTATTGTGCTGCTGTGGGGGGGATCATGTATTGGGCTGCTGTGGGGGGGGGTCATGTATTGGGCTGCTCTGTGGACATGTATTGTGGTCTACAGAGATCTGTATTTAGCCCTGGTGAGAAACTGCCCTAAAATCATGAGTTTGTGTTGTTTTAGAAAAAAGTCACATATTCCTTTAAGAAAAAATATTGGTAATTGGTATCGGCAAGTACATGAGGGCAAGTACTTTTACTTGGTCTTAAAAAAGTGGTATCGGGACATCCCTAATCAGAACCATACTGACACACCTGATACCTCACACCTTTCCTGATGACTTTATCAGATGTGTATAACGAGCCTGGTCACACACCCTCACATGCTGACTACTTTATCAGATGGCTGTGGGTGTTGCCAAGCATAGACATTTAAATCTTACCTTTTTTGTTACCAACTTGTGAATAGTTGAGATAATGAGGGTGGCACCGTGTGCAGTAAACATACTCTGTCCTCAATTATTTACAAACACTCAGCGATCACTGACTGTTTGTACCCGCTCTCCATCCTGGCTCGCTGTCACAGGAGGCTGAGCGAGCGCTGCTCTTTTTGTCAATCATTTTGGTGTCACCCCTCCAACGGTGTCACCCAGGTGCGGGCCGCACCCCCCTCGTGACGCCACTGATGGAAACGATGTTTGTGACACACTTGTTGGGCATGTAGTGAAAACAATAATTCTATGGCCGTCATTCACTGTTCGCTCTAAAATGATGAGCTGTAAAGCCTCTTAGCCCTCGTTCACACCTGAACGTTTTGTAGCGCGTTCTACGCTCGACGAACGCTCTACAAAAAGCTCAAAAAAATAAATCCCATTGTATTCAATGGTCTGGTTCACACCTTGGCTTATTTCCGCCTGTCCCTAACGCGCTACAAAACGGCCCACGCCTGAAAAGGTACAGGTACTACTTTGGGCCGTTTTGTTGCGCGTTTCCATTGGGATACAGCCAAGTAGCCTTCGGAAACGCGCGACGGTCACGCGACTTTTTTACTGCGAATCGCGGTAAAAACCTGCGCGACAGGCGCGCATATGCAATACGCCTAGGTGTGAACGAGACCTTACAGCATCATCTGTGAACATTTTTGGTACCAACGTTCTACCCTGCTTCACAGGCGCATGTAATTTGAAGGCTTGACATATTTTGGTATCTATTTGCAACCTTATCGTTTAGAAATTGGGTATTCTTTTCCTCCCCATTCTTCTCTTAGTGGTCATTTTTACTAAGGGCACAAGGGAACAGAGAGGGGAGAAGAGAATCCCTGTGGGGAGGAATGACTGACAGTCACCACTTTGCAGGGAGAATATGGTGAACTGAGTGGTCAGCGGTATGTGATCACTCAGCTCTCCAGCTATAGAGCCGGCATGGGATAACCTGCAGTGTCACACGCTGACTCTAGGTATTGGGAACAGTACATTTTACTCTCCCTATACTTCTCCTTTAATAAGATCGAATCCTTCGACCGCTTGTTTTCCTTTAGATCTTCTCTCATCCTTCCATGGCATTGTTTATTTCATTGATTAACAGTGCTGAGCCATGCAGGATTTCCAGCCTACTAAATGAAGTATGACATCAGCCGCCTCCTGATAACCGCATCTCACCGAGAACGATATGCAGAGCAAGAGGCGGCTCAGAAAAAAAATACCAGACAACTACAACGTTATCAGGCATCGTTCGTCCTCCTCTGGCAGTATTAAATGTTACACCATTGTGTCAGACCATCCATCGTTCGCCCCCCACTGCCCGTTCGGTGTATTACACTAGGTTGTACTTGATCCTGCATCGTTCGCCCTCTACTGGCAGTATAATCTATTATATCATTGTGTCAGACCATCCATCGTCGCCCTCCACCGGCCGTTCAGTGTATCACACCAGCTTGTGCCTGGTCATGCTCTCGAAGTCTCGCGCTTGTATGCGGACAATGCGGTTGTCTCCAGGAAGTCTCGCGAGGTGTATGGAGAGTCGGCGGAGGGGTGGCAGCGGGGGTTCCGGGTTCTGGGCTCGGAGTGTAGGCCCTGGCGGCTAGTACCGGAGGAGTGTCGAGGGTACGGAGCCCCGGGTGAGAGCGGGGTGTGGGAGATACATGTGTGGTGAAGGGGCGGGCGGTTTTGTGTACTAGGAAAGGGACTTCCGGCTCGTTACAGCAGCCTTTGTGTCTGAGACCATCCGCTGAGGATTTACACTTCCCAGCATGGATAGTCTGTCAGGAACTGCTGGCATTTGTAGTTCATCAGGCCAAGCTCAAGGCATAGCCAAGCCCAAAAAGAAAACTATAGATCAGATCACCAGTCCTTAGCTGAGGTGGATGCATTAGCTTTGAGCTTGCCTTTTACACCTTTACTTTCACCTTATGGTGACAACACTCACTGTGATGTATCTGTGGAGGAGCAGGTTGCTCACCCCAGGCCAGGGGTGAGCAAATGTCAGCCCTCCAGCTGTTATGAAACGACATATCCCATGAGGCACTGCAAGATTCTCATAGCCATGATTCCCAGAGACTAATGCATCATGGGATTTGTAGTTTCACCACTGCTGGAGGGCCACAGTTTGCCCACTCTTGCATTAAGAGCTGTGTTCCTGATTTGGACATGCACAGTGTGTTGGTGATGGATTTTTTGTGGCATCACGAGGGGTGAAGAGTTGACAATTCCACGTACATTATTTTGCACACACAGGATGAATGGACTATTATTATTAGAGACCCAAATGATTATTCACAGATTTCTATATTTACATGTATATACTAGATCATGGGCAGTTCAGCTGCTGTGGAACTACAAATCGCATGAGGCATTGCTAGCCACAGATATGACTTCCAAAGGCATCATGGGATTTGTAGTTTCACAGCTTGTCCTACAGTGTGGTGTGAATGGGGCATATAGAGAACAAGAGTGCCCTGGCATTGTTCACTTGAACAGGCCCTAAAGGCAGTGGCGTAGCCTGGGTGGTCAGCACCCGGAGCAAAGAAAGTGTTTTGCCCCCCTACCCCATAGGCCATTAGCACTCCTCTGATTGGTATCCCCCTATCCCATCCCCCACGTCCTCTCTGATCAGTACCCCTTTCTCCCAGCCCCCACCTCCTCGCTGATCACTTCTCCCATCCCCCACTTCCTCTCTGATCAGTACCCCTCTTATCCTATCCCCCACTTCCTCTCTGTGATCAGTACCCCCTTCTTCCAGCCCCCACCTCCTCTCTGATCACTTCTCCCATTCCCCACCTACTCTCTGATCATTAACCCTCTTATTCCATCCCCCCAATTCCTGTCCTCCTCCAGGGTTACCTATTCAGGGGGTCCGATGAGCTGCTTCTCCCATTTGGAGAGAAAGGCCGGGCGGCCGACAGTCTGGAAGAGCTCATCAGGCCTGCGGAGGTGCCATGCAGGGGACGGCCTCTTCACTTCCTGTTCTGTAGACTCAACAGGAAGTGAGAGGATATCTTTCCAATGTGAGGGAAATATGCTAGTTGTGTCCCCATTGGAAGATCTCCCCTCTGCGTGTCCTGGTGACAACCCATAATGTTGCTTTTATCCTCACTTCTATTCCCGGTGATATTGGTGATCAGGATAAATAGAGAGAGTAAATCCTCCAAACCTAAAAGGGCTTCTATCCCCTCACTACTCTATCCAAATCTAAAAGATGGTTTTTGCCTTTCGTTATACTTTATTGATACAGTCACCAAACCGTATTTGCTGTGGACTGTGGTATACCGGGGTAGATTTGCACAGGGTGAATGTGCATGAAGAGTGAAGGAGGATGGATAGCACACACTAACAGCCTTTTCTAGGGGCAGAAGAATGATGGCCCCACTGCAAGGGTTAATTTTTTTGTTTTTCCCTGGAGTTCTTCTTTAACAACTCTTACAGGTTGTCAATTTAGAGTTAAAAGACAACTATAGGGTAAGTGCTTTTCCCCATAGTTCTCTTAATGGTCATGGGAGGACATATACTAGCATCCTCCCATGACCCAAAGCTCAGTATATAGCGAGCTACAGCTCGCAGTATACTGAGACCGCCACAGCCGGGATGGATCCCGACATTACTGTCGAGATCCACCCAGCTGCGTAAGGCCCCATTTACACTGAGCGACATGAAAATCATGCAGTTTTGAGCGATATTGAGCGACATCGCAATACTTTTTCCTATTGGGCTGTATGCAATCAGGAGCAATATCGCTCGAAATCGCTCGAAAAAAGGGTCATGTAGGAGCGATATTGAGCGATATTGAGAGGCGAGATGTGAACAGCTCCATTGAAATGGATTGGAGAAGCTACATAGAGCGATATCGCATGGAAATATGAGCGATATCGCTGCAAAAATCGCTCGATAAATCGCTCAGTGTGAATGGGGCCTAAGTGAAAGCTGGCTCTGCCTCTAGATAGGCAGAGCCAGCTGTCAGTTACCCGCCCCCTCCCCTGTCCGTTCCTCCAGTCAGCGCTGGAGGTTTGGAGCGGGGAATGTCTGCAGGGAGCTGTGACTAACAGTCACGGCTCTCTGCAGGGTGATAATCGAGAAGTGAGCGAGCGACGGTATGTGTTCGCTCACTTCCTGATCGATAGAGCCGACGTGTGACAGTTTCATTGTCACAAGTCGGCTCGAACTATGAGGCTGAGTGATTTTCACTTTCCTCATAGTTCTCCTTTAACTGTGAATGATGGCCCTAGAATTGTTGCTCTTACTCCACCGTATGTGGCAATACCTGACGTGGCACAACCGTTGTTTTCATATATAGGCACACCTGACGCATGCTGTACCTATCACATAGAGGGTTGAAAGGCTGATTTTCATTTGTAAATGTCTGTAACTTCTTTTATTGTCAATACACATTTTCTGACTCTGATGCAGCTCTGCTAGATTACCAAGTCAAACTCTGGTGCCTATTGGACTGCACAGCAATAAGTAATCGCCTTGTGCAACTGCTATAGAAGTAAATCTAATATTATGAAATTGGAGTATATAATTAACAATTTCTGTGACTTCAGTCCTGCTTTAAGGCCTGGTTCACACCTGGGCGTTTTACAGCACGTTCCTACGCGCTGTAAAACGCTCAACATGTGAAAACGAATGATTGCCTAAGGGCATGGTTCCCACCTGGGCGTTTTACAGCACGTAGGAATGCGCTGCAAAACGCCCTGCGCCCAAAGAAGTACAGGAGCTTCTTTGGGGCGTATTTGCAGCGCGTATCCATTGGGATAGAGCCAGGTAGCCCTCGGAAACGCGCATCTGTTGCGTGTTTCTTTTACCGTGAATCGGGCTAAAAACACGCGACATGAAACGCGCATATATTCGATACGCCTAGGTGTGAACCCAGCCTAATGTTTCGGAATCACCGGCCACTGTGGTAAAACCCAAGTTTTGTTGGTGTCTTTGTAGGATAACTGTTTGTAGAATGCTTACCAATGAGTAAAATCAGGATAAATGTCTTTTTTAGGATCCCAGTAAAGATGAGTTCCCTTTTGGAACGCCTCCATGCCAAGTACAACCAGAACCGACCATGGCCTGAAACAATAAAGATGGTTCGACAAATTATGGTAAGTGGTCTGTAGGTGATTTGAAGGCATACCTTTCCTCGAAGTGGATGTAAACCCTAAGGCTCCATTTACACATGGCGTTTGCAATTTCCGCGCAGCACGAAAACGCGCAAATGTTCACATACGAGCCGATATAGTAATAACCGCAAACACATGGAATCCGCCAATAAAATCCTGTTAGGACTTTTTTGTCGGACGCGCGTTTTAGTGCCACGCAGACGCCACCCTAGTGTGAACAATGCACATTGGAATGCATTGTTTTTCATGTTCAGCACGTTTCCATGCAAAACCGCTTATGTGTGAATGGAGCCTAACTGTAAGACATTGGTTTTATAAAGCTCTGTGTATCATAAACAGTTGCCCTTTCTTAATAAGACATTATTTTTTTACATCCTTTGTTGCAGAGTGCTGCTGATCTATTGCAGCCTCTTTTTGCCTTCATGCATGCATTCGAGCGACGGCTCCATGGCATTTCTTAGGACGGGTTTCCTGAGGATGACAGCGGACCATGTCTGTGTAATATGTGTTGAGGCTGTCACTTGTCATCTCCATCAGAAGCCAATGTGACAGAGTGACAAAACAGGAGCACAATTGGGAGACAGGGACAGAGCGTTGTCACCCTATAAACGCGAATGCATGAACAGGGACTTTCATGGCAGGATTACAAGGTGTTATTTGAATGAAAGCTGTAGTTTTAAAAGGCTTGAAAATTGCTTTTGAAACTAGTATGTATAACAAAGTCTATTTTTCAGAAGGTTTGGCATTACACCTTACTGGATACAGTGTTATTTTGCAAATAGTTTTTTTATGAATATGTTGCAATGTTTCATGCCTGGAGATCTTGTCAGTCATGTATAACAAAGTCTATTTTTCAGAAGGTTTGGCATTACACCTTACTGGATACAGTGTTATTTTGCAAATAGTTTTTTTATGAATATGTTGCAATATGTTGCAAAGTTTCATGCCTGGAGATCTTGTCAGTCTGCTTAGGCTGACATTGCTATGCTGCCATCTGTTGTTGGTCATTGGGCTGCCTACCAGGTCTGTGCCTGCCTCCTGCAGACCTGAGAGGCAGTCCAGCATCCGTGGTATTTCTGTGTCCAATAGCGTATATTAAAGTTGGTGCTGTTAAAGTGCCCATAGTTGGATATTTGGATTGAGTTGGCAGTCTACCAAGAGACAAGCTACTGTCTGTCGCAGCCCCTGCTTCTCGGTGCCTCCTTGTTTTTCCCAAAGGCGCCAAGTGTTTACTTTAGAATGTTCAACCCAGGCCACCCGCCTGAATACTTCAGCTAGGATTAATGGACTCTGTTCTGTTTTTGGAATTGGAGCCATGATTAAGAGGGACGGCTGGGGGTATTCATATTTTGCTGCCACAGCTAAAATTCTTGGACCGGCACAAGCATTTGCCAAAAATGTTTTCATCAATCAAGATTGAATGCTTAAAGACGATCAGATATTGTAATATTTCTGGCCATAAACTGTGTCAACTAGCGATCCAGCTGCATTATTCTCAGGACCCGCTGAGCAGCTTCTGAAAAACCAAAGACTTTGGATTCCAGGTGGAGTATGGATGCAAAGCTACAAACTGAACATAATTAAAACTTGGTGGTGATAGAGCATAAAGCCTAATTTGACTCAACCATGAAAACCTGACCTGACCCAGACACGGAAAGGATTGACAGATTGATAGCTCTTTTTGGATTCTGTGGGTGGTGGTGCATGGTCGTTCTTAGTTGGTGGAGCGATTTGTCTGGGTAATTCTGATAAGAAAAGAGACTTCTCCATGCTAACTAGTTACACGAACCCTGGCGTTCGGTGTCCAACTTCTTAGGACAGGTGGCGTTCAGCCACATTAGATTTAGCAATAACCTGTGATACCCCTTAGATGGGCTGAATGCATGCTACACTGCACAGACTAGCGTGTATCTACCCTTCGGCGACAGGTGCGGGTAACCCACTGAACTCCATTTATAATAGGTTTGGGGGTTCCAATTATTTCCCATGATCAGGGAATTTCCAGTATTTGCGGTTCATAAGTTCGCATTAAGCCTCTGCCTCTTGCACCCACTGCCTAGCACTACTACCAACTGGATGGGTTTGTGATAGTTGCTGATGGGCCTGTTTAAAGTAACCCTGTTGCAAAAAAAATTTTGTGTTAAAGGTGCTGTTACCTGTAAAGGAATGCAGTGAATATTCACCTTTCCTGGTGCCTATGTCACCAAAAACTATTCTGGTCACTAGAACTGCTCTCTGAAATCCTCTAGGAAACCAACACTTCCAGCAATCTTCTGTGTTCCCATGCTGCTCTCACTGGTTTCTCACTCTAAAATAACAAGGGGGCTGGAGGACCTTAGCTAGGTAAAGATTACAAAGGTTACACAAATTCAATCTGAAAAAGACTAGCTTTAGAGGCAGCACTTTTAACAAAAACATTTGCAGCAGGGTTGATATTATGCTAGTGTCAGACTGCATTATATGTGTTATTTTTGGGTTGACCATAGTTCTGCTTTAAAAATCTTATTGTTTGGGAAACTTTAATGAGTTATTCGTTTCCTGATAACAGAAGACCTAGCATGCTTGTCTGGAGTCCTGCTGCTCTGTTATTACATATTGGAAAATCATGATAAAATGTCTGTGGTTTTGGTAATGGGACTTCTTTAGATTTAGTATCAACTTTCATAATACTCTGCTTCACCTAAATGTCGGGTCATTCTGACCAGGTACTAATGGCCACATCCCTGATTCTCTCAGAAAACATTTCTATGAAAGTAAACGTCGCTCATCAGGGCAATGCAAGCTGAGCAAATAATGAAAAGAATGCATCAGCAAAGGTTACCGTCAGAGAAAACAATGTATCAAAACAATTGGCAGATCCAAAGATACAGGCAGCTGGAATTTCTTGACTTTTCCATTAGAAGTGTGTATTGGTCCTGCTCCCTCTTGCCTCTCAAGCTTCACGTTTTTGTTTTACAAAAGTTTTTTTATGGAAAGCTTTAAAAAAAAATGTAGCACATACCACTTAAATTGGGATCATGCAACATAAAGTACCATAAAGTACAAAAACAGGGAGAACACATAGTGCATAGACAAAGCATTTAAGCAACATATCCATACCCCATGAGGCAAAAAAAACTACAAATGAAGAGAGAAGAGTTGGCAAGAAAAAAAGGGAAATAAATTATATGAAAGAGGAAAAAGAAGAAAGAAGGTGCGATCCTGCCCAGGAACCTCCAAATGTTGACAACTATACTCACAGAAGGTCATGACAAAAGTTTTGGGCTCTCAAATAGTCCAGCAGTGGTGACCAAACCAAGAGGGACTTTCCATATGAGTCATTGAGTATAGCAATTAAGTTTACATTAATAAAGGTACCTGTAGTTCTTTGTTTCACTTCCAAGAAGCTAAGAGCGGGTTGTTCCAGTTTGAAGCGCAGCCAAGAACACATAAGAAGCCAAGGTTTAAATAGGGATTGCAAAATTTTTTTTTTTTTAATAGAGCTTCCCAGGGGTCCCATGGGAGATCACAAAGTAAGTGCGTTCTAAGGAGATTGTAAAACAGAAAATTGGTCACCAGCACTCCAGGTTTTCTTCAAAACGAAATCCTTTTATTCATTCTCACAGGTCATATCACCATGACCGCCAAATTTTTTAACAGACGGGATAGTTCTCTGAAGAAGGCAGGCTAACTAGAGAAAATAATGATACGTTGAAGTGAGATATGCTCTAAGATAGGGGAGCATAGAGATTCCCAAGAATTCATAATTGGACTGCATTTGAGATCAAGTGTGGGAGTCAAGGGAGATATTCAGTGCCCTAAGTGGGGTATACACGATTAGAATTTCAAATGAACTAAATCGGGTCAAATCAACGATTGATTTTTACCTGAGAGGAGACTGAGCTGACCAGGGGGATACCCTTGCACCAATAGTCCAACTCCCCTGGAGATGATAACAGGAGGAGTGGGGACGCATGAGTGCAGCTGCGTTGGTAAGCACAGCTTCTGAATTTGAGTGCGTTGATCTCAGTACACAGCACAGAGTCCAAGCAGGAAAGCCCAGTGGATGCCATAGGTGAATTAGGAACGTAGTCGAGGTCACAGGCCAGGGTAATTCACAGCGGAACACTTACAAGGACAAGGTGCCAAATCGAGAAACGCAGAGTAGTCGGGGTCACAAGCCAGGATCGAACACAAGGAAACCAGTTGCCGGGTAGAAGTGCCAAGTTAGTAATCAGAATCAGGGATCTACTCGGATCTGAACACAGGAAAGCCAAACAGCAGGATCAGGATACAGCTGAGACCAGTCAGCAATGGATTCAGGACTCACTGACTTTATAGTGGATTAGACATCACTGAACGTGCGTGCGTAATAGCATGCATAGCGAGCAAACTGTTGCGTGCACGGAATCCAATACGCGCGCGCCCATTATTAAGAGCATATTTGCCCTTAAGCCTAAGGATAGGAGCACCCTACAGGGCGCGTGCATGAACCTGGAGTAGCTTTCTGGTAAGTACCTTACACACAGTGACAAAAATTAGAAGAAGCATGTTGGAAATCTTTTCTCGATCGAACAAATTTCACGAGTGAACAGTGAATGTGGTTTTCGTTCAGAAACTCTTTTCATTCTTCTATCGAATAAAAACAAAAATTAAATGAAATTTCTAATGACAATCGGCAAGATTCTGATGCCAGTATCAAAAGTTCCCGGCGGGTTTTTTCGTACTAATGTTTGTGCAAAAAAAAATCTAACTGTGTATACCCTGCTTTCGATTTGGCTGCATTTACATAAAGTCCAAAGATGTCTTCAAATGCCGACACTAGAGAGAACAGATTGGGAAGGGAAATATGCTGTTGCAAAAGGTGATAGGGGATATAATTTGCAAAGTACAATGCTTTATGATGAATGCCTGCTGTTTCTATTCACTGTATATTAGGGTTATTTCTAATGACGAAAAAGGGCATCCCTATGTGATACCTCTGTGGATAGAAAGTTTAAGAG